AACAACAACAACAAAAATCATAAGACTGACTGACAAGAAACATGTCAAAATAACCAATAACAACATAACAAATAAACTGTACTGTATAACAATAACAATAAGTTCCCAGGAATGCTCCAACTAGAATCTTCACTTATTTGAGACATTCTTTAAAAGATTCTCTAAAAGGATATTACATTCTTATGAAATCTGCACGAATTCCCAACCCACAATATGAATCACCAGATCGATGCTTCAAATGAATTCGATCGCATATTTGATCACAAATCACTCATTTATCTCTTCAAAACTAGGACGATGAATCGTCCAAATCCATCGACTCAGCTGCTGCCGCATAATTCAAATAGTTTTGAGTCCATCTTGCCCATGATTTCTCCTTCAATTCCATTGATTTCAAATCACCGACCAACTTTTTCGTTTCGGCTTCCGCCTCATCCAGTTCACTTGCTTTCTCTTCGTTTGGCTTTCTCAACAACTCCGATTTATGTTTCCTTTCCAATTTCGACTGTTCAATTGACTTCGCGAAGTCGTGTGAACAAACCATCGACTGACCAATTTTACCAATAACGAACATGTTGTCTGATCGTTTCTCGTGCTCATCTTCACGAGTCTCCTCCATTGGTTCTGGTTTTATTTGCAACAAATTTGACGCTGCTGACTTCTCTTTTGTGTTCGATAGCGGCCGCGGATCAGTTTCGATTAGTACAACCGACTGAACCATTATAATTTTATTCAATGTTCTCGATGAGAAATTGCAACCAATTCAAAAGCAATTCGAATTTTTTTTNTTTTTTTTGTCGAATAGGAATATTCATATTACTAGAATATAAATTCAAGAAGCGTAATGATAAAGTTTTACTAAGAATAACGATGAGAATAATCTTTAAGTAACCTCATTGTGCCGTGATCTAATGCCACAAGTTACGTCCAGTGCCATTCCACCAATTATCAGTTCAACACGACCACTTTTACGAATTCGTAATTTGCCAAGAGCCGTCCCATCCTCGAACCTCTCCAAACAATGCGACGTTGTCGGATTTGGTGGTGAAACTTCGGTCTGAAACTCGTTGATTGAGAGAACCGATTTTGCGCAGATTAAAACGAATGAAAAAAAATTAGGAATAACCTTAACCGCCGCAGAAGGTGTATCAGTCGTGTTCTGAACCTGTTCTTCTACTTTTATCTTCTCGTCGTTGCTATTCGACAATGAAAGAAGAGTACTGGGAAGTTGTACCAATATAAGATCATCACTTGGTTCTACAAAATCAACCTAATTACATCTCACAAACAAACACAAATCCAGTAGAATTTCTGACATAGATGGCTATTTCAGTAACCCCTTCTATTTGATAGTAACAGACAAAAGCAATGATAGTATTGGAAAAAAATAATCAGCCTTAATCAAACTGCACCTAGACGAAATGAGTAACTATCAGATGAAATTCGAAAAATACTTCAACATCACATATGCTCACCTTCCTCCATTTGTACCAAAACCTTTGCAACTTTTTGACTGCTCGCCACGATTGGTTCACTAGACTGTCGAAAATGCAGAAGTCCTTCTTGTTTTTTATTTGTTTTCTCATTTTCTGATTCACTATCTGATTCAATACGCCTTCGTTGATTCTTCTTCGTTCTAAAACCAACCATCATACTAGAGATATTAACGTCATAAGGAGGCAAGAATCAGTCTATTTATGGAAACTCGATTTTACGTAGACTGATTAACATTATTTCATCCTGTTTCAAGATAATATCAGTGATTGATATCAATATAAACCACAAAACGGCTTTTAACCGTTGCATTGATATACATTCTTAGAATTCTTAGGAACTAATTTCAAAAAGTTGAATTAATTC